AATTACGGTTGAACCTCTGATGTCACATGGATTATTTTAACGATCTCCTTACTATGTTTCTGAGCCTTGATCTTGTAAGGATCCTTGCGGTCTATGGGAGGGTCAGAGAGCTCATGGAATGCATCAAAAAATATCTTAATTTGTGTTCCGAAGATGAACGAAGATCTTACAGGTTTGGAACGACATGAGGGTGAGTAATTAATGACATAATTTTCATTTTTGGGTGAACTATCCCTTTAATACTGTTGTTCAACAAGGAGGCATTACATTTATATAATATGAGAGTAAAGACTTAAGACTATAAGATTTCTATAGCAAATAAATGTTCTTCTTTTGAATTATATATATATATATATATATATATATATATATGCTATCACAGTTTCCACAAACATATTAAGCAGTACAATGATGTTTTTAACATCAATAATAATATGACATTTTCCTTGACCACTAAATCAACATTAGAATGATTTCTGAAGTATCACGTGACTCACAAGACTGGAGTAATGGCTGCTGAAAATTCAGCTTCACCATCAAAGGACTAAATTACATTTTAAAACAACAAAATAGAAAACAGTTATGTTAAATTACTAATATTTATATCACAATATTACTGTTTTTACTGTATTTTTGATCAAATAAATGCATAATATCTTACCCCCAACTTTTTAATGGTAAACATTTAAGCTACTTGTGACATGAATTGGTGTGTAATGTGAAGTTATAAGCAAATACAAACAACTTAAAACAAACATTTGGTGAAGGGTCGTTCAGTCTGCTCTTCACATTGACTTTTCCTTTGGTCTCAAGGTCTCTGTGGCGATAGGGGGTGCCCTCGATGAAGGCTATGTAATCGTTATAAGAGCAGGTGGGACCAGCCAAAATCCCCATGAAATTACAGTTGTAACTGAAGTACTCCAATAAACTGGGCATTCGTCTGAATAAAACACAAATACAGAGGAAAACTAGATTTTAGAATTGCATTAGAACAAAAGTAAAATCACATCTAGAAAAGAGACTTGAGATTGCAGTTTTAAATATAAAGGGAAAAGCAACTACCACAATTACACACACTCAATCAAAAACTACATTCCTTCATTTAATTTTGTCTTTGTATAGTCAACATTTTAATAATGTCTTTTTAGTCTACATACCTTATGGCCAACAGTTTTTGACTTTGGTTTAGTTGATCTTCTTTCCTTGCCATTCCTATAAACACACACAAAATATATCAATACCAACACCATCAATCCATAATAAACATCCCAGATAATAGCTATAGACAGTAGATAAAGCTTCAGTCCACATTCAAGGTAACTGCATGGAAATGATGGAGCAGTATATTATTCAAAATGTCTCCTTTTTCTGTTTTCCACATAAGAAACGAGTCGTCCGGGTTTGGGATGATGGAATGATGATGGCAGACTTGCAAGTTTTTGGGTGAACTATTCCTTTAAATACAATATAGTGGGAAATCATAATGTTTGCATGATTTGAGCACAGTGGATGTCCCATACGTGCTCAAATTCTAAGCTTGTGAGTTTAGTCTAACACTCCCTGGCCTCCCTCTGATTTACAGAAGTAATTCGAGAGGGAAGAAATGTGCTGTAAATTGACTTGGCTCAGAGTTCATGTGGTCGACTCATGAGTCTCCTCTGCCTCAGTTGTTTGTCTTCCTGCACGGTAAGAAAAGGCAGGGCGACCCAGAGTAAGTGGCTTGAATAATTTCTTGTTGTTTTATTGCCACCCTTATGCATATAACAAAAAGACGAGCCACTTAAAATGTTTTCATTATGGTTTATGCCCGACTCAGTGAGCAGCAGCAGTGCAGAGACAGAGCTTCACCCACAGTATGCATCAACATGTCCCAAAACTAGTGATGGAGGTCAGCAAGGACTTCTATGGGGGACTTTGTCCTATTAGTGTCCTACGAACCATAGGGAATATCAGTGACAGGTTATTCGGGTCAACAGGCGAGTGAAACCACTTTATAAGCTTACATACAATTTATATTACAAAACAAGTAATTTTATATCACAGTAACAAAATACATCACAATATCTGTACTGGAAATCAATGAGAATTGCTTCATATAACCACATGGTAATGCCCATTTCTGGATAATCCACTGAATTAAATACTTTCCAAATGAAAGGGACTTCATCTCATTTGATTATGTTCTATATTTATCTACACTATGATGAAGACTAAAAGATACGATTATTCATAACAAATGAATAATATGTCCGACATCAGTCAAAATCAATCAAAACTAACAAAGACAAACTGAAAATAAAATAAAATTAATTAAGTAAAAATTAAATTAAATTAAACAAATTAAAATAAAATAAATGAAAAATCTGATACAATGCCGCCATGGCACAGTGTAAATCGTCATATCATCCAGAATTAATCTCGCACTAGACATTCAGTGAGGATAAAATCTTCAGTGAGGAGGTCAATCTTAAGGGAATCCACTCTGTTTAGAAGAATCTCCATAACAAAGGTTTGCAGGCTAGCAGCTGAACTCAGCAGAGGACAAAGAAATTAATTAGTGATAACGGTAATATTAAGAAGTGCGGTGTGAGGAGCACACATCATAAGGGTAATCTGTCACCCTGTGGAACAATAGAGGGGTGAAGAGAAGGAGGGAGGCTTGTTTTCATTTGCTTTCGTTTCATCCCGCTGCCTTCCATTTCTTTAATTAGTTTCTCAGGCCCTTTGGCAGCACATTTGACGATCACAACAGCAGTCGTCTGGAACAGCATCCAGAACAGAATCCCGATGCATCATACCTGTGTGTATTCTCAACTTTAACCAAACACACACACATTCACTCACCATCATGGATCTCAAAAGCCACACTGGTTATCTTCTGTGTGATGACCATCATTGGCCTGTCAGAGAGAAAAAAAGAGAAATATGAATAGAAAACACGGACAACGAAGCTCTGAAACTTCACACAGAAAGGCGTATTCTTACCCAGTGAAATCTGCAGAGTACATTCCGTAATCAAAGACGTAAACCCGGGTAATTTGGCAGAAGCTTAGATAACCCAGGGCGACCACCAAACAGTATCTGCAATGTGAAACAAACAGCAGGTTTTAGATTGCAAACCATTTCTGATACATTTATGTACTTATGACCATATTTCTTCAGATGTTACACATAAATTGTAGTTTTACAAGAGCTTTGATATCATGAGGGCCTGAAGGATGCCATACGGAGAATTATATGATCCATTAAAACCCAGAAACAAGCACAAACATCATTTAAAAAAAAATAAGCTAACAAAGAGCTCAAAGATGTTTCCAGAAATGAACTCAGTGGTGATGAGGGCTTTTGATCTGCAGAGACTGAACAGCAGACTCCGTGTGTGTGTGTGTGTGTGTGTGTAAACATTCTTTTCTACGCTAATGAATGACATTATTGCTCTCTATTCTTGTATGATGCAAAAAAAAAGGATGTGGAAATTAAAATGAAGGTAGAAGACAGAAAAAGGCACATACAGTGGGTACGGAAAGTATTCAGACCCCCTTACATTTTTCACTCTTTGTTGTATTGCAGCCATTTGCTAAAATCATTTAATAAGGGGGTCTGAATACTTTCCGTACCCACTGTATATTCTCAAACACACACAGAAAGAGTTATAAACTGCTAGTGCCATAGAGGAGTTTCATTATCGCTGACTGAGTTAAAAGGCTGCATGCGATTGCTCAGTCTGTATGGTATTTATTTTACATGGCTCTCTTGAACACTGGATTGTCCAATTAAGGCGCATATTTTAAATGATATAAATGATGTACGTAAAATGATATTAAAAAAGCATTAAATTAAGATCAACTACTAAAAATTAAAGATATTTCTCTTTTTCTTTTGAAGAACCAGAGTGCCCACTGTCAGAGTGCCAAAAATCTGGATATACGAGGAAGTCTGATTTTAGAAGTGTGATTTATAGACCTGAAATAGTCATGTTAATTATTAAAATCATAAAACTCCAAGAGCAGTTTTTTTAAAGAATACAATATTTTGTACTCTCATATGCAAACATATTATGAATTTGTCTAGAATATTCTATTTTCAAACTCTAAAATACTTTAAAAAATATGTTTTGAAAAATATATACTGTATATATATATATACACCTTTTCCTTAATTCTTTTCCAGCAAATCTGAAATAACTACATAAGTTATGGGTGCTTTGAATATTGTTGTGAACAGTGAGGGTGGCCTTGGTGCCTCTTCTCATGTCATAAAATAATTTGAACTGCAAATAATATTTAATGTCCATTTAATGATGCTCTATATGTTTGCTATGCATGTAAGTAACTGTGTAAGTGGGATAAATGGAGAATCAGCCTGTCATTATCACAACATAAACCTTCACAAAACTCCTCTGTGTCCTCTGATCATGCTTTTGGCCAGGTTACTGGTTTTGTTTGGTAGATTTAGCAGTACATTAACTAGATATCTATAAGCTTAAAGGGGTCATATGATGCTATTTTAAAGATCATTATTTTGTGTATTTGGTGTAACAGAATATGTTGACATGCGCGCATGTGAACCGAACGAATACAGTTTATTTTTTGTTCTCCGGAAATTCAAATAATAAATGCCGTTTTGACAGTCTTTGATGTGGCATGACAGATCGCTGTATAAACACCTTGGAGAGCCGCTTCTCGTTTTAGGTAGGCGTGGCTGACTCTTAACTTTTATAAAGAATATCTCTTTGGATTTGAGACTTTAGTCTTTGCAACTTTACAGATCTTCTTTATGCACCAACAGCTTGTAACACTCCAAAGAGAAAGGAAAACTTGAAATCGCATCATATGACCCCTTTAACTGTATATTCCGCTGTGTTTTCTGAGTCATGTCTAAGATGGTGAAAAAAGCAGCGTGGACCAGATGCTAACATGGTGCATAAAAACATTGTTGTTTTCTGCTGTGCATGCAAACGTACTGACTGAGAGTTTACACAACTTCGGTTGTGTTCTGTTCACCGCACATGACAACAGAAGGTCATTAGTCTAGTAATCGTGTGGTTTTAAAATGCAAGATCTTTTAATCTCACAGACAAAGGTAGGGAAAAGCAGATGACGCTAGCAGAGACTAGCATAACAGAAGCTCCCAGTCATTCTCATTATTTCTTATACACACACACTCGAGCTGTAGTGATGACACATTCAGCTCAGGTCCCCAGACACTGCAGGTGTGAGTACGAAGATAGACGAGGTGTGTGTGTGTCGTGTGTGTGCTTTCCATTCAACAATGTGAGTGTGTTTTGCAGATCTGCAAAACAGTTTGCCCCCTAAAGAATGCCAAAAATAGAATGGTCTCAACCACTGTATGATTCCCAAAATGACACAACCAGTAACGTCAATAGCCTTTCTACACAACCCACCGATAGAAGACAGAAAAAGGAGGAGGAAGAATTGTCTACCTCAACAACTACCCCTTGAATCATCCTAAGTAGGGATGCACCGATACCGATACTGGTATCGGTATCGGGCCCGATACTGGCCTCCTGTACTCGTACTCGTTAAAATGCCCCGATACCAAACGCCGATACCACACAGCATGTGATAAGCGCCATATTCAAACAAAGAAACACTGACAACAGACAGCGGAAAGGAGTTATGGATGTCTGCTACGAAGTATATGTATGCAATGAATATAATGTTAAACATTCAGTATTAACGCCTGTATAGCTGATGTGTGCGAGCTGATAAACAAAGCGCGCTGAGTGGATTGAGCGCGCGGCGGTGCAGATGCGCGAGCTTGTCGAGTGAATATACCTATCTCACAGACATCACTGTCGGTGCATCCCTAATCCTAAGACAGTAATATCAACTCATTTAAAACAAAATGTCCCTAAAGGGCCATTTGGCAGAAGTCTGACATTGAGGCAGTTTTATATTTACCACCTAGTAAAAAGTTTCTGGCAGCTGGCAGGAGACGGCACAGGGGAAATAATGGAAGATTTTATTACACCCGTGAGGAGGACAGTGACAGAATGATCTCTTTCTCATTATAATTATCTCTGGGTTGGTTTTCAACTCTTTCATCAGAAGAGTCGGGCTGTAAGAGAGGGGACGACTTCTATCAGCATGGACCTCAGTTCACCTAACGAATGAAAAGGGGGCCATGAAGGATTCGCGCACGTCTGGGTTCTACTGAATTTAAAGTAATGTAATGGTGTTCACAACCAGATTTTCTCTGGTGTTGTTACTTATTTCCTAGTGAAACAGTATTATTAGCTTTGAGGCCATTTTTGTGCAGTCAACACAAGAAACGCTGCATTTGTCCAGCCATTTCATGGGCTCTTTAGTAGGAAATGGAGTCACTTTTGATTTAATGTTGCCTTTAATGCTATGAAAGTTTTAAAAAATACAACAACTTTAAAGCACTTTTGAGTAATTTTTAATGTTGTTATAGTTATGAAATTATGAACTCACTTGTGCATGTGCTCGACTCCGGTCAGAATCATTATTCCATAAGTAATGCCACTCTGGAGCAGGAAATGAAGAGCATACCTGAAGAAGAGAGAGAAAAGGTTGTTTCTATTAATACAGCACATTTTTGCTTAATGTCCACTATACAATAAGAAACTTTCAAATGATACTTACAGTATATAACTACTACTCATAAAGGCAGGACTCTAACTCTTAATATGGCAGCTGTAGGAACAGAGTTCCACCTTGCAGAACAACCTATAGCCTTTCTGATAGAGGTAAAGGCTAGATGTAAATGCACATTATCTGGATCAGCATAAAAACAGTTTTTAGTGTAATCTAAGTTTTTGAGATTTCAGCTTGTCCTCATTCAAGTAGAAAAGCTGAATTTGTATGCCTATTACCCAGACTCAACAAATGAAACTGCCTTTATGTAAAGAAAAGAAACTTGATAGAAGCTTATCTGTAAGACACACTTAAACACACACAAACACAAAAAGAGACAATTTAATAAGGGTTTGAAAAGATGCCACTAATTAGCAGCCAGACATTTATCTATCCTTGATTATCATGAGTGTGGCCTATTGATCTGTTTGTCTTATTAAATGAGATGTTAATGAGTTCCGGATTTTAGTCGCCACTGACACATCAATACAAGCTTGTGTGTGCCGACAGTCAGAACACAGACACTAATGTTTCTAAAACTATGTTAGTATCGACAAGACTTTTTCTATTGTTACTCTCTTAATAAAATTAAAACACCAGCTGTTTCCCGCAAAGGTTTTCGCAAAGTATACTGGAATTGAAAAAACTAATTTTATAATTTTTTACTCCTGCACTCCAGTAAACCTTCTTTTAAAAATATCATGTTTCCAAAACAAATGAATAAACAAAAAAACATGTTTAGTCTTTAATGTTTATTACTGTAAATTCTAAACATATGTGACCCTGGACCACAAAACCAGTCTTAAGTCACTGGGGTATATTTGTAGCAATAGCCAAAAATACATTGTATGGGTCAAAATTATCGATTTTTCTTTTATGCCAAAAATCATTAGGACATTAAGTAAAGATCATGTTCCATGGAGATATTTTGTAAATTTCCTACTGTAAATATATCAAAAAGTAATTTTTGATTAGTAATATGCATTGCTAAGAACTTCATTTGGACAACTTTAAAGGCGATTTTCTCAACATTTAGTTTTTTTTGCACTCTCAGATTCCAGATTTTCAAATAGTTGTACCTCTGCCAAATATTGTCCTATCCTAACAAACCATACATCAATGGAAAGATTATTTATTCTGCTTTCAGATGATATATAAATCTCAATTTCGAAAAATTTACCCTTGTGACTGGTTTTGTGGTCCAGGGTCACATATATTATACGACTCTCAATCCAAAAATGGGACCCACCACTCAACAAAATTCATTGTAACCATGAAAACTCATATTTCTGTTTTCCATTTTTCAAATCCTTTTTTGGTTTGAATCAAATGTTGTAATGGTGTCTTTCATCTCACAGGTGACTTTCTGTTTAAAAAAAAATGTCCAGTCACTGTTGCACTGAGCTGAGGGAGTCATACAGGTGTATTTACAACTGAAACATACCACATAATTTGTTACTTGACAGTGTACTACAGACATCAGCTTCAGCTCTTTTTATTGTCCTATAAACCGATTGTTTATTCTGTATCAATCTCTCTCGTTTACAGACTGCTACATTTTCTATTGATTGGCGTCTGTTGTATCTTTCTGGAATGTCACACCAGCACAAATCCTGCAGTCCAGTGTACAAGCAAAAACTGGTTTCAGTTTCAATGCGGACACACAGAGAGGGATGCGTCAGTATGGACAGCAGGCAAATACTCACCAGCCAAAGCAGAAGAGGGCAAAGTATATGCCCAGCAGTGTGGCCACCACATGCCGCACAAAAGGACTGGTCTTGCTGGGGTGCAGATAGAGCCTGAACCACACGGCCGTGAGCAGGGCACAGAGCTGACATACTACAAAGTTCACCTAAAAACAAAGAAACAAATAAAAAACCCAATTGATCATCAACTGAACTTATGCCATCACGGCCAAAAGGCTGATACTTAGATGAGATGTATAACTTTTCAGATAGGTTTGTCACTTCTGAGCTATTTTAATAAATATTTATTTATTTAAATGCATTTTAAATTACATTAAAATATTTTCTTTCAGTTGTAAACATGCAGCTTTTCGCTTCACAAGATGTTAATTTATGGATTGGAGCCGTGTGGATTATTGTGATGTTTTTGATTGTTGTGATGTTTTTGATGATCAGCAGTTTGAACTCTTATTCTGACGGCACCCATTCACTGCAGAGGATCCATTGGTGAGTAAGTGATATAATGCAAAATTTCTCCAGTTTCTCCAACTGGTGAAGAAACAAACTCATCTACATCTTTTATGGCCCGAGAGTGAGTACATTTTCAGCAAGTTTTCATTTTTGGGTGAACTATGCCTTATCATTTTTAAGTAATCAGTTACTCATTTTTATGTCTCACAGTAATCGACTAGAACATTTCATAAAATGCCCATCCCAAGCACAACACAATAAAGTGAAAAGCATCAAGCATTATTTTGTTGTCATTTGGTAGCCCCGCCCACACGGAAACCCCATTGGTCCAAATACTGCTCCACATAGCTGTACATTTAACATCAAATATATTCTGATATTCAGTGAATTCAGTGTATACAGAAAAACGTCTCTAGGTTACGTATGTAACCATGGTTCCCCGAGGGAACGAGACGCTGCGGCGAGAATCGCTTTGGGAACGCCCCTGCATGACCACGTTCTGAAGCACGTGTAAAATCAGCCCAATGGAGCAGTGAGACGTCACAAGTGGGTAGGGTTGGGTATCGTTTGGTTTTTTTTCGATACCGGTGCCAAATCGATACTTTTAAAACGGTTCCGGTGCCTGAACCGATACTTATTAAAAAGTAAATAAATAAAAATTCCCCCCACAAATATTTCAATCGATCGCTCAGGCATGGCACCGAAATCTGCGTTCGGATTCGGTTCTAGTACACACCGGTTACATAGGTACCGGTGCCATATGGTACCAGGTTTCGGTACCCAACCCTACGAGCGGGGTGACGTGAGCACAAGTTAGCTTCGATGAAGTAGCGCCTGCAGCGATGCAGGGAGTATAGCAAAGAGACGAGGCGTCTCGTTCCCTCGGGGAACCATGGTTACATACGTAACCTAGAGGTCTAGGTTATAGAAGTTGACAAAAGTGTGCGGTGAGGACCAGCCCGCCGCAGCTCAAATGTCCTGCAAGGCCACACCCAAGTTGAAAGCCTTGGATGACCCCCATAGGTGACGGGAGGTCAGAGGACTCGTAGGCTAGTGAGATGGCCTCGACCCCCCACCTACTCATAGTCTGCTTGGTCGCCGGAGATCCTTTCTTTGGCGGACCAAAAACAAACAAAAAGCTGATCTGCCTTACGCCACGGGGCAGCTCTGTGTGCGTAAGCGTCCAGTGCTCGAACTGGACAGAGCAGATTAAGCCTTTCTTGGATCTAGCGTGTGAGGACCGAGAAAAGGACGAGCCCGTCTCGGACCCCTCCGCTAAATCCACTTGCGATCCCCATGACAACAGTCTATGCTGCGCCTCGGCAACAGCGGGACCGCTGCCAGCGGGATCGCGAGCCTGGCCGCTCTCATCAAACACAGTCAGGCGAGAGCGGAACACGCGCAGCGAGAGCAACTCGCAGTCATGACAATCAGCTCCCTCAAGAGCTGACCGTGCATGCTCTGCTCCTAAACAAACAACACACAGATCGTGTGTATCCCCCACCGCCAGATATCGTGGGCAGGGAGGAACACAACGTCTGTAATGCCGTTCGCTCGCCATAGACTTAGACTTTGCTTTTGACATGATTGATATGCTTGTGGCTGACAGACAACAATAAATAGGACTGACACATACACAGAGCGCTACTGAAGAGCAGAAGCTAACTTGCGCTCTGCCGGATGCGCTTTTATACTTCCTGGTGCTCACGTCACCCCACTCGTGACGTCTCGCTGCTCCATTGGGCTGATTTTACACGTGCTTCAGAACGCGGTCACGCAGGGACGTTCCCAAAGCGATTCTCGATGCAGCTCGAGTTCCTGAAGGGGAACTACAGTATTTGATACTGGAAACATGTCACTTGCCCCAGGTGTGAAGATTATTATTTAAAGACAATGGAATTTAGAAGAAATAATAAGCAATCAAAATCAAAACAAACCACGACTAGCAGGGTCAGAGAACAAGGATTCAACCCTGTTCCAGGAGAACGTCAGAAGGTTGGCAGGACTCAGTGAGGTTCCTGCAGTATTTCAGGACCCTGTAAGCCTTGTGACCTACTTAAAAGACAATGCCTTGAGCGTCACACTGACATGCTTCTCATGAAAGCCAAAGACATCCACAGCATGAGACTGGGAGTTGTTTCTTGAGTGGAAACAGCTGTGAAACTTCTACTTCAAATCATCTGAAGACAGATATATATATATATATATATCTTCAAATAAATTCAAACATTTTAACATCTGTAAAGAGCTTCATTCCTATGCTTTATACATATAACAATCATCATAAGTCTGCAGAATAGCTACTTTTCTGGCATGTGTGGCACATTAAAGGGAAAAATAGATACTATGTACTGAAATAGACAAGGGTGGTCATCAAAACTCTAAATTGAATCTGCTAACAAAATGAACAGGGCCCTAACCACAAGGAATACACTGATATTAAAATTCAGGTCAATAAAATAAGCTGATAAATACTTTTATGGTAACTGAAAAATGGCCTTTAAAAAATGACATTCAAAACATTATAATGATATTATTAAAATAATAAAATATCTAAACATAAAGACAAAAACTAAACTCAATTTTAGATATTTCAAGATTTTTATTAGTATTTAGTTTTGTTTTGTTTTTTGTGACAGAATTCACACACCACACAATAAACTGTATTTCTGTCCTCATCAACCACATCTGCATTCAACTTCTGTAGAATAGCACTTAATAAATCCACCACAACAAGGACACCACCTGTTTTTGCGACATCCAGTTCATCTGTCAAGCGTGGTCTGCAGACCAGACCAAGAGGGTTATGGGAGTTTCTTGGCAGCATGCTTTAACTTGTATGTATGTAGCACTAGCAATGCTGCATTGTAAACTCATCAAAAGACATCTCAAGCTCCAAGTAATCAATATAAACCAAAAATCATGCTAAATGACAGATGACAGCACGGTAATAGTATAAGAGAGCCACGTGTCTTTGAGATTACCTGAGCTTGGATGTAATAAAAATCTTAACTAAAATCATGTCCCTTTGAATTAGGTTTACTACTTTCAAGTCTTGGAACACTTAACCCCATTTACATTGACAGCAAAAAACTGTCCATTATGAACAACTGCTCATGAACGCCAAGCACACCGTTTGATGCTGAGACTGAATAATGCTGGTAAGAAATTGAGTTAGTTATAACTATGAAGGCTTACATAATGTCTCAGACACAACATAAAATAATCCTTGACAGATGAAGGATTATCAGTCGGTTTTGACAGAGGCTTGTTTGCCAGCTTCTGTCACTTTCTTTGCAGACTTCCTGTTGCTCTCTCACTCAGTTTCATCTGTCCATCTGTCACACTTGCAGCAAGCACACACAATACACTAAATAAGCCAGTTAGTTAGTTAGTTAGTTAGTTAGTTAGTTATAGGAAATCACACAGCTAAAAGGTCAAAATCAGTCATAAATGTGCCATAAGAAATGGCCTTGTAATACCACAAAATTAAATAAATTGTAAATATTTGACACCAGCACGTTCATGCTGGCCCAACCCAGTCTTGAGCTATAGCCACAGTGTCAAACATTTCAACACAAAGCCACAAAAAAAGCATTTTAGCTGCATTGTGTGGCAAGACAAATCATACTAATAATTCATAAAACAGGTAGTGTCTCCAAAAGAACGTGCAACTTCATTTCACTTTGCAGTGGCAGATTGCTTTCTGATTCTCAGCACCCACTAAACAGAGAGCACAACTGCTTAGATTCAGACTTTCAGAGATTCATAGAAAAGGTACCATGAAAGATGACACCAACTCAATATATCAATACAGATTATAAAGCATGCTCTCATAAGCGTTTAATGTTAAGGGCAGTCAAGGAGAGAGGAGAGGAAATAGGGGCTCTAGCAAACATTTTTACAGAAGAACGTTAAAAAGGCTCATTCACAAGCTCTGCCTTAACAGCCAGTTGTAAATGAAAGAGGCTGGAAAACAAAAACCCTGGAAAAACAGGCCAAGTTACTTAACTCGATAACACCCATCTGAAGCAGATGCTGGTAAACTTTTGACATTTTGACACAACAACATGAGCCCATTTCTGTTACTGCTTTATCATTTTGCAAAAAGGTCTTGATAAAATGGACTTCTAGTGAAACTATTAAACTTAAATTGGGGTGATTTAATGCAATCATAAAAGCTAAGGAGTAATTTTCTGTGCTAGAACATAAGGGAATTTATGGAAACTCCTTTGTGATTTCTCGTAAGAAGAATAAATTTTTGTTGTTCTTATTCCATAAATTATTAAACGGCCATTTTAATAACCATATTAAGAGTCAAATATAAGGTAAATATGACGGCAAATTTAACTCAGAAATACTGCTGAAAACCTTTATTATTTAAAAATGGCTTCTTTTTTTTTTACATTTTTAAAAATGTAATACATATAAAATAAAACAAAACTGGGTAATTTATTTGTGTAATTAATTAATTATATATATATATATACAGGTGCATCTCAATAAATTAGAATGTCGTGGAAAAGTTCATTTATTTCAGTAATTCAAC